ACAGCGAACCTATCGATCCTAGAGCAGGCCCTAGAAATAAGAGCGGACCTTATCTTATTGTAAGAGCCTTACCTCTATAAGATCGATAATAGCTATATCCCTATATAGCATCCGGCCTATAATATTATAACCCCTATCCCCTCTACCGACTTTCCTAAGCTCGATAGGAGACCTAGGGTTATAGCTTATAAGAGGAAGGAAGACCGGATAGAAGCTAGCCCTAGCTTCGACCTCTTTTACGATCCCGATATATAGGCTATAAGGGTAGAAGGCGCCGAGCCGTTTACCCTTATTAACCTATATAACGAAAAAGAGGCTAAAGGGGCCCTAGCCAGCTAAGGCCAGCAAGGGCCCCTTACGATAGAAAGGCTGCTACTAACAGCCCAGCTCCCATAGCAGCCCTTTCTACTAGCAGGGGACTTTAACCTATACCACTACCGGTAGAACCCGTCTACGGAATCCTCTAAGGCCCGTAAGGCAGAAGCCCTTATTAGCTGGCTCGACCGCTATAAGGCCTCCTTGCTAACGGACCTTACGGTAGCTATAGAAGGCACCTATTAGAGGGAAGGCTTAAAAGGGACCTCGGTTATAGACCTTGCTTTCTATAGCCCCTTTAAGCAACTAACCTGGGCTAACTTCCGCTTCTTAGAGGCTACGGGCTTAGACCATAAGCCTATAGCCTTCGAAGCTAGCTTAAGGGGCCCTAATAGGCCCCTATTAGCTAGGCCTGCTACCTATAACTATAGGAAAGTAGACTAGAAGGCCTTCTCGGAACACCTAGCTAAGAAGGAACAGGACCTCCTTATAGCTATAGAGAGGGCTATAAAACGAGACGACTTAGAGGGGATAGCCCCCCTTCTAACAAGAACCCTTATAGAGGCCTCTAACGCAGCGATACCGAAAAAGAGGCCCTATAAGGGATCTAAACCCTGGTAGACCGACGAGCTAACCTCCCTTCGGAAAGCCCTAAGCCTAGCCCAACGGGCTTATAGGCTAGCCTAGGACGAGGAGAACCAGAAGAGCTTTATAGAGGCCCGAAATAGCTTTAAGTACGCTATTAGGGCTGCTAAAAAGCAATACTAGGAGAGCTTCCTAGCAGAAGCAGTAGGAAAGGACGTCTTTACGGCCTTTTCCTATACTAAGGCTAAAGCTAACCCTACCCTTCCGAGTATCTCGTATATAAAAGAAAGGATAGAGGTAAAAGCTAATACCTTTACGGAAAAATGCGAGGCCTTCCTAACGACCCTTTTTCCGACCCCGGACCCTAGCCCTAGCCCCCCTAGCCCCCCCTAGAGCCTAGAAAAAGAAGAGCCCCCGGGCCCTATAGGCAGTAAGGGCACGGCTAAGTAGGACTAGCAAGAGCTAAAGGACCCCGAGATTAGAAGGGCTATTATTAGCTCTTCTAATAAGAAAGCCCCCGGCCTAGACTCCCTTAGCTTCCTTCCTATCTAAAACGCGTATAAGGTTATTCCCACGGTCTTTAATAGGGCCTATAAAGCCCTATTTAACCAAGGATACTACCCTAAGGCGTAGAAGGAAGCTATAGGAATTATACTCCCTAAGCAAAATAAACTAGACTATACTATCCCTAAAGCCTATAGGGTTATAAGTCTACTTAACTGCTTAGGGAAGGTCCTCGAAAAGCTATACGCTACCCGGCTAAGCTACTTAGCTAATATAGCCGGGCTTCTAAACCCTACGCAGCTAGGGGGACGAAAACAGCGGTTAGCTATCGACACGGCCTTCCTCCTTCTACACTACGTCCAAAAGAAGCAGGAGTCTAATAAGAAGGCTATTACTAGCACCCTCTTATTAGATATAAATGGCGCCTTCGACTTCGTATCGAAGGAACAGCTTATAAGGGTCCTAAGGGAATTAAACCTCCCTAAGGCCCTTATAAGCTAGGTAGACCACTTCCTTACCGAAAGGAAGATCCAGCTAGCCTTCGAAGGGCAAACCTAGCCCCTAACGGACCTAGCAATAGGGGTACCCTAAGGGTCCCCTATTAGCCCTATACTATTCCTCTTATACGTAAGGGGGATACTAGCGGCTAAGGGGTACCAGCTATCCTATATAGACGATTTTAGCATCTCTATAACGTCGACCTCGGCTAAGAAGAACGTCCGGCAGCTAGAAGCTATAGCTGCTAACCTATTTAAATAAGCTAAGGACTAAGGGGTCTATTTCGACCCCTCTAAGACGGAACTTATCTACTTTAGTAGGCAAAGGCAGCCTATTTTAGAGGGTATAAAGGTAGGAGGCCTATTTTTCGAAGCGAAGCCCTTAGTACGGTGGCTAGGGGTCTTCTTCGACTCTAAGCTCCTATTTAAACAACACATCGAAAAGAAGGTAGCCTCCGTATAAGCTGCCTTCGAAGGGCTATCCCGCCTAGTCTCTATATAAAGAGGCCTATCGTTTAGAGCTTCGAGGCAGCTCTACTAGGCCTGCGTGACCTCGATAGCAGACTACGGGGCCTAGCTTTAGTATAGGGGGCCTAAGACCCCTAAGAGCCTAATAAAGCCTTTCCAAAGGCTTTAGAACCAGGCCCTTCTAAAAGTCCTAGGGGCCTTTAAAGGATCCCCTATTAGGGCCCTAGAAGCCGAAGCAGCCCTCCCACTACCAGAGGTACGGTTTAAAAAGGCATGCCTCTCCTATGCCCTTCGAACCCTATACCTCCTACCGAATCACCCTATAAGGCAGGCTTATAACCTAGCCGTACGGGACGACCCGCAGAGCTATTCATGATACTAAGGGTCCTAGAGGACCTAGCTAAGAGGCCTCGGCCTCTAAGGTCTAGCCCCCTTAACCCCCCTATAGAGGCTTATATCTTTATAGATAGCTAAGCCGCTATACGAAAGGTTAAGGGCTACTCGGACCTCGCTATACGTATTAGAAGGCTCTTAACTAGCCTAGAGGCCTTCTATAATATACGGCTATACTAGTGCCCTAGCTACCTAGGGATCTTCGGTAACGAGCTAGCCGACCAGCTAGCTAAGAGAGGCCTAGGGGCCCCTACGCAAGGGACCCCTATAGTCTCTATTAGCTACTTACGAAGAAAGGTCCGATAAGCGGCTAAGGACTACTAGAAGGGCCTCTGGGCTGCCGAGGCAGCTAAAGGCCCTAAGGCTAAAGGCTTAGGCAAGCACTATACGTCTATTCGAAAGACCCCCCGCTTAGCCTTTAGCCCGGAAAAGGACCTTATAAGAAGGCCTAGGCCGACCCTTTCGGCCTACTACCAACTTCTCCTCGGGGCCGGCTTCCTATTATCCTTCTTAAAGAGGGTTAATAAGGTAGGCCGAGACGACTGCCGCTGCGGCCAAGGAAGGCACACGGCTAGGCACCTTATCCTAAGGTGCCCGAACTATAGGAGGGAAAGAGAGGTCCTTTACCGGGCCTCGAAGGGACGGAAGAAGGCCCTTAGCCTACCTCTTCTCTATAGCACTAAGGAAGGAAGGGAAGCCCTTTTAACCTTCTTAGCTAAAACAGAGATAGGAACGGCTAAGTGGCTCGAAAAAGAGTAACCTAGGGGCCCTTAGGCCCTTAGGGGGGAAAAACACCGCGTGGGAGGAACTAGATTGACCTTTCCTTTGTCTTTGCCTTTATAGCTACCCTTTCCCTAATTAGGTATAAGCCCCCGGGCTCTATAGCTAGCTAGGACTGCTAATAGGGGCCTAGGCCCCTATTAGCCTCGCCATGGCCCTAGAGGCTGCATGCGAGTAATAATAAAAAAAAAAAAAAAGTCTTAGAGATTTCTTTACTCTATACCTCTTTATCTCTACTAAAGTCGCGTAACTAGCGGTCTTTACTTTAAAGGGGAAAAATAAAAATTTAAATTAACTATTATTAAGGAAGATACTTAATTAAATAATTAAGGTCTTTATAACGCCTTTAAGTATACTTAGAAGTAAGTTAGAAGGGGAGTACTAGGGGTCTTATCCCTTTAACGGGCTAATATCTATAGGGGTGCGATCTTACCTATTAAACTAGGTTCCTAGGCCCCCCTTATTTTTTTCCTATATTAAGGATCGAAGTAATTACTAAGGTTAAAAGGCACTATAGCGTTATAGCTATAATAGCTTATTATTATATAGCCTAAAGGCTATTCTATTATATAGCTTAAGGGCTATTTTTACCTCGCTATAGGCGGGGACTATTAATACTAGCCGGTTAGAGCTAGCGGTAGAGTAGCTAGATAAGCTAGGAGGGGGAGCGGGATTTAAACCTACGACCTTATAGAAGAAGCGGGTCTTCTAAGCGCTTTTACTATTATACTATCCCCTTATATTATATATATATAAGAGTTACTTTCTAAGGTTACTTTATAATAAGGCTAATATAATTCTAACTAAATAAATAATACCTAAGATAGCTAGTATAAGTTTCTTATATATTATAACTACGACCTTATATAAAAGTAAACTAGCTATAAAAAAAGGGAGGGTTTTCCTTTAAGTACTTTAGTTTTTCCCTTTTATTTATCGCTAAAGTTCTAGATACCTCTAGTTAAGTTACTAGCGTAATCTTAATAATAATAATAATAACCCTTTACCCTTACTTACTTTATAATATTATACTAGCTATAGGGCCTTATCTTTCCTTTCTAGAGCTGCCCTTATTTCTCTTATATTCCGGATTTATACTAAGAGAGTAGCTCTCGCCTCCTCGTTTAAAAGTATATTAGCTCTAGCCTTATAGCTATATTAACATCCGTCTAGGGTCCTCAATATACTCCTTTACTTTAACAAGGAATTGTACCGCCTCCCTACCATCTAGGAGGCGATGGTCATAGGTGAGAGCAAGGTACATCATAGGACGGATCTCGACCTTGCCGTTGGCAGCGATAGGTCGCTCCTTGATTGCATGGAGACCCAAAACCGCACTTTGGGGAAGGTTGATAATTGGTGTCCCCATGAGCGAGCCGAAGACCCCCCCGTTACTGATCGTGAACGTGCCGCCAGCCATATCCTCGATCGTCAACTTGCCATCACGAGCCTTGCGAGTCAACTTAGCATTTGGTCTTCAGTCAGGCGCGCCTGACACAAGTAGCGCCAAAGAGTGGATGGGACGAAAGACAGGTTCAGTAGTAAGGCTGCCGACCGCGAACTCACCTTCTTGCCCATATCGGCAATAGCCCTCTCGATGCCGATCAGATCCATCGACTCGACATTGCGGACAACGGGTGTCACCAAGCCCTTTTCCGTGGCGACTGCAACGCTGACGTCGACGTAGTCACGGTAAACAATGGTGTCACCCCCGTTAGGGCCCTCGATGGAAGCGTTGACGGTTGGGATATCCCGCATAGCAAGAACAGCAGCTCGAGAAAAGGCGCTCATGAAGCCCAACTTGACTCCGGTCTTCTTCAGAACATCATCCTTGTACAGCTTGCGAAATTCCATAATGTTCGACATGTCGACCTCGTTGAACGTTGTCAACGATGCAGCCGTGTTCTGGGACTGCTTGAGGCGTTCGGCAATGCGAAGGCGCATGCGATTCATCTTGATCTGAAATAGCCGTCAGCTCGGCAGGAAGCAAAGGGCCACAGAAACACATACGCGTCGCTCTTCGCGGTTCCCCGAGGCAGACGACGAACTTGACGTAGTGGTAGGTTCAGGCTGTGCAGCCTCCCTAGGCTTCTTGGATGACTGCGGTTGTTCCTTTTGCTCCGATCTCGACTTTGGTTGGCTTTCGGGCTTCGGCGTTCCCTCACGAGTTTGGGTTTGCCTGGCTTCGGGCTCGGGTTCGGGCTCGGACTTGGTGGCATTATCCGTGGCAGCCTCTTTCGGGGCCGCATCTTTCTTGTTGTCCACACTCGAAGAGCCGCCGAGCTTAATCGTAAGCAGATCTTGCCCTACGGTGACGGTATCTTCCTCGCCCACAAAAAGTTCCTTGATGGTACCCGCCTCGGGTGCATTGACGGCGACGTCGATCTGGACAGTGTGGCTGATGAGCATTTTACAGGCAGGAAGCCTCGTAGCACGAACAACAAACACGTACCTTGTCAGTCTCGATAGTGGCTATCTCCTCGTCCTGCTCCACGCGCTCGCCGATGCCTTTGAAGAACTGTTTTAGTGTTCCCTCGGAGATGGACTCGGCCATTTGAGGCACTTTGACGACTCTGTCGGCGTAGCTGCGGACGATTTGGACCATGGCTGTCATCGTGATCAACGGCGACCGAGTGGGTGAGCGAATAGGGCGCATCGACGCCGTGTAGGCGGCGACAGCTACCCGTCTCGACAACATGGCGATACTGTTTACGCGGCTGGCTCGATAAGTGCAGTGCAGGAATGAATTTGGGAAAAGATGATAATCAAGCTTAGCTAGCTTCACGGAAGGCTGTAACCATCTTTGTCAGCAGCTTTAATTCGGGAGCAGAAAAAACAAGGAAAAAAGGTCTGAATATTTGATTAATAGCTATTAAAGTATATTTAAATACCAAATAAGTAAGTTGAAAGGGAGGAAATTCTAATATATATATGTGTTCGAAAGCAGTTCTTAATAATAAAATTAAAATCGATTAAAGGGCTCCTTTAAGGGGAAATTTTTATCTTTCTTATATAAGCGCTTGTATTTGCTGTAAGAAGGTGGAGCGCTTCCCCAGCTACGCTTACTAACGGAAGCTTCGGCCTCGTAAACTCGTACTCGTAGAAGCAGCGCACCATTTGGGAGTGTCGGTCTGCCAGCCATCACCACACTCACCCGCGACACGAGCCTAGAGCCCACCCTGGTGACAGACTACTGCATTCTTCCACGAATCTGGATCCGGCCGCGAGGCCGCGGGTTGCCTGATCGATCCCTCCAGCTTCCATCATTCGTTCAACCTGCAATCAAGCGTGGACAGTGACTCAACATGTCGACGCACCGAGCAGCATTGTCAGTTCCTGCATTGGTGACCCCAAGAGCAACCGCTTGGATTCGAACAGCTTTTGACCCGGTGACTTGCTCAGATCTCTCTACCGCCGCTCCCTCAAGCTGGCGCTGGACTGGGCGGTCCAACGTCAATTGTGGCGAGGCCAGGCGCTTTACATTCGATCTCTCTTCGAAGCCAATCGGAACGTTTCGGACCCAAGACAGCAGAGGGTGAGCGAAATGAGCCTTATCAATAAGCTAGGCGTGAAAAGCGTGTTGCCATGCTGACGCGTGGATATCAAGGCCCTGCTATCGGAGACTGAGAAGTTGCTGGACAGCTGGAAGCACCCGGATCCATACATTCCGCCAACTGCTCCAGGAGGTGAGGAAGAATCGCAGGATCAGCCGGGTGCGGCTTCGATGCTTTTCCCGCTTGCTGATCCATCTTGATAGGCTCCAAATATGAGCGAAACATGCCATCGCCAGTTCTCGACCGTGAGCTCTGTCTCCCTCTTATTCGAATCAGCATTTTATAGCTAACAAGTCTCCGACGCAGCGCCTGAGAACACGACCAACAGGCACTAAAACCGAGATGACTTGAAGCTCATCCGCCGGTGGGCTTGCATGGTCATATAGACGCAAACACTGCTTATAGAGTTTTAAGGCAAATATCATATTGTTTAAGCCCACAGGCGGTGACGGTAGATGATTAATATCCGTCCGCAACGCTTTATAACACGGCGCGCTCTAGAGACTGGAGTCGGACATCCAGCCAGACCGACATTGTAACAGCATGAGGGAAAGAGACTCTCATTCATGACCGTAGCCGTGGGGATTATTGTACAACCCGAATGCGCAAAAAAGCAACCGTGAACCCAGAACCGTGAACCTTTCATTTACCGTTGCAACCCAATTGAACCCTCGCAAAACCAGCAAAAGACCAGAACCACCAGGCGATGCGTTTACAACTCTTGGCTGGCACCTTTGCCGCTCTTGCCAGTCTTCTTCGGCAGCAGATCTGTATTTAGCTCGCGTTAGCATCTGTCTCGCGCCGGTGCGAGATATGCGGTCGCAGCTTATAGGGGCTGGGGGATACTGACTTTGGTGGATGTTGGGCAAGACACCACCTTGGGCAATGGTGACATGGCCCAGCAGCTTGTTCAGCTCCTCATCGTTCCGGATGGCAAGCTGAAGATGCCGGGGAATGATGCGGGTCTTCTTGTTGTCGCGAGCAGCATTGCCGGCCAATTCAAGGATCTCGGCAGCGAGATACTCCAAAACAGCGGCCAGATAGACAGGGGCACCCGCACCGACACGCTGGGCGTAGTTGCCTTTTCGCAGGAGACGGTGGACACGACCGACAGGAAACGCAAGTCCGGCTTTGGAAGAGCGGCTGCTTTTATTGTAAGCAACGGTGTATCAAGAGGGGCTTTGGATGTCGTTAAAAACTCACGATTGGGCGTTCTTAGAGCCAGAGGCCTTGCCGCCAGATTTGCCGCCGCCAGTCATTTTTGATTCGGGTTTTTGTTGTCTGGAGAGTTTGAAAAAGAATCGAGGAGTCAGTCAATGAGACTTGAGTGGCAGGGACTGGGTGGGGTGGTCGGATGAGATGTGGTCGAGATATGGCAGTGATAATTGAGAGATGCAAACACCAAGAGCGCGGCAAGATGCTGGCGGGGGCGCGCGAGGTTAAGTAGTTTTCGGCGCGTGGCAGACGTGATGCTGGATCACCTGCAAAAAGGGAGGAAGCATCATCCCAGCGCTAATCCGTTCTCGGAAAATGGGTGGGTGCGGTCGTGTCCAGGCAAAACAAGCAGGGAAGAAATACATTGCGGCTAGGGAGAGGAGCACCGAATTTCGCCGCGGAAGTGCCCACATACAGTAGTACCTAATTACCTTACCTAACCTTCCTAGGTACTGTAGGTGTTCTGAGGTAAGGTGGGCACGGTCGCGCCATGGTACCTATCTCCGACCCGGCCAGCAGGTGCTTGCAGTGCTATAGGTACCTAGGTAGGTACCTGGCAGGTAGGTCCGTACCTTAGGTGGTAAGCTACCTACTGTACCTAGTACGTACCTCCAAATCAGCAGCCACGTGCTGCCAATGCGCGTCGTGTTATTGCCCTGCCTGTCTCGTGAGAGCATCAATCGACTCCCTCGCCCGCCTCAACCAATGTTATCGTTTGGCACCAAGGCGGAAACCGGCAACATCTCTCCCCTGTGCGAACACCGCTGGGGCATGTGGCCGGAATTGCGAGGCGTCTTGGCCCCATTGCTGAAACGCCGTATCCAGGAGCAGCCAACACCAGGTGTTGTAGGCCTGCCTTGACCACAGCCCTTTCCTGGCGCCACTTTCTCGGTTTTGCTGCTGCACACTGGAGAGAGGCTGGTGCTAGTGTCATTGCTTCATTCCAATGCAATGGAAGGGCATTATGCTCGTCAGTACTTAGAGCAAGTTTGTTCAAACCGGCCAGGCTCCGTCCAAGTGACCCGCCAAGGCGGTGGCAGACGTCGCCGCGAGGACTGCTGGGGGCGGTACGCGAAATAGTAGCATGACATGAGAAAAGGCACTTGAATCAGTTATATTCACACCGCCGGTTCGATGGCAATCTTCATCCTAGCTAACTCTTGGCCGGGGATGTTGCCCTCATCGCGAAGGATTTCATGGCGCCCACCAATCATGCACTGATAAATCAGGTAAAACTCGCCCAGCATCGAGCGCCAGCCCGCCGCATTCGGTAAACGGCTCGGGGATAACTTCAAGCGCCACCCAAGAGAGATGCAGTGCTTCTAACTCCAAAAATTCCATCCAGGCCGAGGTCCCTACCTTAGTCGCTCACCAGCCCAAGCAGGCAAGGATTGCTTGAACCATAGACTGGCTGCTATCAGACTCAAGCCGAGAAGCGTCCCGAGCTCCTAGGCTAGTAGCTAATGATGCGTGGGTAGGCGGGCAATATGAAGCTGGAGCCACACCACAATGCACATCTCTTGGAAGTGTTGGCTCCCGAGAGGGCGCGACATTCCCTCCCTCCGGATTCGACGAACGGAGAAGGAAATGGAAGCTTGTACCGAGTACCCAGTGTTGAGCGTCCTGTAGCGAACCCGGAGGTGGGGGACTACCAGCCAGCGGTTTCCCGTGTCGCCCATGAATTGCAATGACAGGAAGGATAACTCTCCATGCGCAAATCAGCTTGTGCTGCGCTGTTTCTGCACCACGCTGGCGGACGCGAGACAGCACCCACAAACGCGCGAGCGCGCGCGCGCCAACAGCCCAGCGTGCGATGTGGGTCCCTCTCCTACCCCCCGAAAGGCCGAGACGCCACCACGCAAAACCGCTATTCGTGCCTAGCCGTGACTATTATTAGTGGCCAGCAATCAGTAACCCACTGCCGCGACAGCGCGTTCAGCTACAAAAACCCTGCCCCCCCTCCAAACCCTTCACCCTCCGCCATCCATTTTCCAACCACCTCACGCTGCCCGACCACTTGCCTCTCGTGTCCATCGCCTCAGCAGACCAAATCCACAACAAGACCTTTGCCTCTGCACAGCACTTTGATCCGCAAACATGCCTCCCAAAGCCGCCGACAAGAAGCCCGCCGCCAAGGCCCCCGCGACGGCGAGCAAGGCTCCTGAGAAGAAGGATGCAGGCAAGAAGACTGCTGCATCGGGTGACAAGAAGAAGCGCTCCAAGACTCGCAAGGAGACGTACAGCTCCTACATCTACAAGGGTACAGTCATCTCCGTGTTGTCGTGTCAATACGTCGCTAACATTGTTGCACGCAGTCCTCAAGCAGGTGCATCCCGACACGGGTATCTCGAACCGCGCCATGTCCATCCTGAACTCCTTTGTCAATGGTGAGCAGTCTCGCGTCCCCGTCTGAGGCGACCGTTATGTTAACGCGTCAGCAGACATATTCGAGCGTGTCGCCACTGAAGCCTCCAAGCTGGCTGCTTACAACAAGAAGTCGACCATTTCCTCGCGGGAAATCCAGACCTCAGTCCGCCTGATCCTGCCAGGTGAACTGGCCAAGCACGCCGTCTCTGAAGGCACCAAGGCCGTCACCAAGTACTCCTCGTCCACGAAATAAGCTTCCGCGCACCTGAGGGTGGCCTTTTTACGGATGCATCTGAATCTTGTCTCTTTTCTTTTTTGCGTGGCATCGGGGTGTCATGATTCTGGGTCCCGCAGGCGCTCGCACCAGATCCGCCTTGTCTTTTTCTCGGGATTTCCTAATGCGTTACGGATGGTTTTTGCTTTTGGGGGCAACGTCTTCACAGGGTCAAACGGGGTTTGCGGTTGTACAATAAACATCGAGGGTATGGCCTCGGAGCAATGAATTCGTGCACATGTTGATTTTTCTAATCTTCTCATTCGACTACGATGACAAACCTCATGCACCCCGCAGCTACCTATCTTGGCCGGGGCCTTTTCTTCGCTCTGGGGTCACCTCCCGACAGGATGTGTGTTGTGTCCTGCTCGTCTCGGGCCGGGGCCGGTCACTAGCCAAGGCCAGCCTTGCTGCGCTTCATGGTGTGCGTTACTGGTTGCAGGATGCCTTTGTTGTGTGCGGCTCCCAGCGCCGTTCCGCTGCTCCAGCCCATTTTTTCCAGCATGGCTCGGCCGCGATTTTCGATGCCCAGTTCGGCCGCCGTTCCCCCTATGATTTCGCCGTCTCGGTAGCTTGCCGCTGTGTGACTACCGCCCGCCGCCACTCTCTTGATGGGTGCTCGCCTCCTTTTGGCATCCGGTCGTGGCAGTTGGCGGCGTCGGATGCGACTCATGGCGTTTTCAAACGTCGACTCAATGTATGGCATGGTCCTCTTCGTTCTGAACAGGGTCGTTCGACGCTGGTCTGCCTTACCGGCCGATTTCGAATTGACCTTGAACTGATTGGCTAGTTCGTGAATCATTTTCCTCGCATGCAGGTCCATGGGCGGGAACGTCAGGCTACAGTTGAGGTCAGCCTGGGGGTCCGTCTTGCCTGGATCAGTGAACTGGAAAGGGAGACTCACGTCTCACGCATGCACACGAGGAAAGATCTCAGCTCTTGTGTTACTTCCGTTGTGCTCATGCCAGTTGGGTACTTGACTCTGAGGTCATCTGGCTTCGTCCCGTGGCCAAGCATGCCGAGAACCCGACTTTCTTCGCGCTGCTTCTTCCGTTGCTTCTTCCTGAGCCGGTCCTTCTGCCATGCAGCCTGCAGCTGTTGCTCGAGGGTTGAGGCACAACCGTCAAACGGAATTGGCGCGCGCGACCTTCTGCTCTTCTTCCGCTGCAGACTAGGCCGCTCCCAGTTCATGAAATCAAACTCGTCCCACTGGGGCGTTGGGCCTCGGCCATGCCCTCGAACATCGTCCGTCGAGTCACTGTCGCTTTCATGCTGGTCGTTGCGGCCAGTCCCAAGTCTAGGGTCCAGGCTTTGGCCCGCAAACAGCTTGGCCAGTGTCTCGTCGTCTAGCTCGCTCTCCGCTCCAGAATTTCCACTGTGTGCCCCATCCAGGCTCTGTGTGTCAATGTTCTCCGTGGCCTTGTCGCCAACGCTACCATCCGACTTCTCCCGGCCAGCATCTTGGCCTCGGGTCGTGGTGGAACCTTTCACTCCGTTAGACTGGACAGACTGGCAGGTGTTCATGCCATCCTGTGCACGTCGTTGATGCGGCTTTTGGCTGGTTTGTTCTTCAATCTCGCCGTTCTCGAGCATGTTCGCAATGTAATCATCCAAGATCGAGTCGTCACTTGCGTTGCCATGGTCATGGCCACAACCTGGACCACGTCGGCTGCGTCTTCCCCGGCCTCGCGGGCTGTGCCTGGCAGTCTGTGCCATTGCCGGGGGACGTGGACGTACATGGAGGATTTGGGCATCGACTGGTGTCCTTCCATTGGCGTGTATGGTCGGTGTGTGTGTTAGGGTGCGTACGACCTGCGCCGTGCCGCGGTTTTGCGTTCCTCTGTTGCGGCCGCGAAACAATATGACCTCGCCGCTGGAACTGCTCTCCGGCGAAGACACACGACTCGGTATGCCGACGTATGCCTTGTGCGCCCTCTCGCCAGAGTTCTGGCCGAGAAGATCGATGAAGAATGGTGCTGCCTCCCGGGCGCGGGGTGCCTGGTTTTCCTGGGCAATGCTCTGTGCCGCGACATCCGGGTCCTTTGGGCCGAGGACGTTTTCCTCGATGTCGGATTCCCCGAGGTTGGATTCCTCGAGGTCGGATGTGTCTCCTGTTTCCATCATGGTCATGGGGCTGCACCGGTGGCCGGGAGGGTTGTCCGACGGCACGTCATTGCACGCTGCTCTGGGCCGGGGTGGCTCACTTGTGCCGACGCTGAGGAAGGCGACTGGATTGCTGCGTAGTTTGCAGTTGGGGTTCCAGATGGAGTGGTCCTGTTGAGAAGTCTGGCGTGCTTCCTGGGCCAGCGTGAACCCATCTCGTTGATCAGTGACATTGGATGAGCCAGCCCATTTCGCGGGCTGCAGAGATGCTTCGCCAATGTGACGGAAAGGTTGCGCAGACTCCGAGAAAAACAGCGACCGCTCGCCCGGGAGTCTCCCACCGCCACAGTGGCCCCCGCGAGGGCCTTGAGTAGGCCTCGAGCCCCGCAGGGCAGGTGTTTTTTTCCTGGCTCTGGGCATGGTGTTGACTGCAGGGTAGCATGGACGATGAGACGTAACTTTTCGAGGAACGGAGGTTAGTGAGAAAAGATATGTAAGACCCAACGCGGTATAAAGGCACTACCTATAGAGCTAGGTACTAAGCTAGGTGCTAAAGAATATAGAAAAAGGTAAACGGAATACTTATAACTATAAACGTATAGATATATATATAAAAGTATACTCTCTTTCTTATATTATTAATTATTACTATATATTATAATTAAATTTTAGACTTTATACTTATTAAATATATAATACTACTTATAATATTTATAAATTATAATAACGTTATATAATAAGTATAGTTAACTTAGGCTATAATAACTATATATTATACTAATAAGCTAGCTATAATAATAAGATAAGTATATACGGCTTATAATTAGCTATAAAATTCCTTATCTCTTAATACTAATAATATTATCTAGAATATATTAATAAATATAGATACTATAATAAGGTATTATTATAGGTATATACTTAGTTAAAAATTTATCCTTACCTTAGATATCTTTTTTTCTTTTTCTTTTTTAAGTTATTATAAGGGTATATTACTATATTAATAATTATATAATAGTATATACTAAATAATATATATACTAGTATATTACTTAGTATACTTTAAATTATATTATATACTATTTCCTTTACTTATAGGCCCTAACTAACTAGTATATAGCTCTAGCTATTTAGTATATAAAAAAAGGAAGTAGTATAGCTAGTTAAGGTATAGCGCTAATACTATAAATTTAAGTATATATATTCCTTATACCTACCTTACGTATTATAATAAGAGCCGCCTATTATAAGGAAAGTAAGGTTATTATAATATATATAAAATAGTTAATTAAGCGCTTAGCGGTATTATAATAGTTATATCTTTAATATAGGCCCTCGCTATATAAATCTTACTATATAAATCTTAGTATACTTCTCCTTTATCTTAAACGTCCTCCTTAACCTTATCCTACTATATAGCTAGCTCGTATAAGGGTATTATAATATAGATCTCGTTTTATATAGGCTCTTATAAGGGCTCTTATAAGGGCGCCTATAAGGGCGCCTATAAAGGTATCGCGACCTATATTTCTTCCTATATATAGTCTACTAGCTAGTATTATAACGAGCCGACTTAGTAGCTAAGGGAAATATTATTATATCCTTATAAAAACTTCTTATAAAACCGATATACGCCCGCAGCGGGTGCGCATCGCGACTAAAATACTAACTAATACTAGGAATTAATTTAGCAGCATTAATTACCCTTAGTAACGATGCTGCGCCGAGGCCGAGGGGTGGGTAGACGTGGTAGCGGCCCTCGACGTACCGGGCTCGATTAGAGCGCGTGGCGCGAAGAGACGCCACCCGAATTTATATACCCCGATAAAGCGAGTTAATAAACCCGAAGCAGCGATACGATACCGGCCCGGGCGCCGAGCGACCCCATAGAAAAAGTAGCATATAACGAACTCGCGGGCTTTATCCTAAGCGTATAGTTCGGTAGGGTATAGGCAGTAGTCGAACGGCTCTCTAGGGCGAAGAGCCGCGCCGGTAGCGCGTCGTCGGCGGTGCTCCGCGTAGACGAGAGCTTTAAGACGATAATCCGGGATATAATTAAGGAGGCAGTTAAGGAAGAACTCCGCCTAGGTATCGCTTCGGGCCCTAGGGGCCCTAAGTAAACCTAGGCCGCGGTCGTAGCCGAGACTAGGAGACCGACCCGATATAAAGCTATAGTAAAATAGGTCCTACCGCGCTATAAACGCGAGATTATCGTAGTCCCTACTAAGGCACCGCCCGAAATCCTAAGCCGCGAACCGAAGGATATAGTAAAGGCGGTAAATACGGCCCTAAAAGCTATAAGCGCTATAGTAGCGAGGCGCCTCTAAAGCGAAGATATCGCGGTTATATTTAATACCGCGGCGAGAGCCTATTAAAGGGACTAAGGCTAGGTTAAGGCCGTGTTTAGACTAGAGGCTACGATCTCTTACCGCGCGTATACGGTAGTCGTAAAGAACGTCCCCTTAAGGGTAGTAACGGTAGATAGGGAGCGATTACTCTATAAGATTATAGAGGTAAATAAAGTCGAGGTCCTCTAGGCCCGGGCGCTACGCCCCCGATCTAAGATATCGACGGCAGGGTCAACCAACAACATCATCACGTCTTTTTAGCTAACTTTTCGAAACCAAGCCTAAAATACGAAAAAAGCATACGCCTAGAACCCTCGCGAATAGCATATTACGCCCCCCTAAGTGCAGCCTCGCGTAGCTACTAGCGGGTGCGTAATATGCTGCCGAAGATAGCGAGCTAGGCTAGGTTTTCCCCCGTATGGGTGGAAAACCCTTCCCCGCCCTCGCTGACTAATACGTACCCCCCGCAAACGCAACTAAGCCCGGACCCGACCCAGGACCCCGGCCTAGGCCCTAGGCGGGCCCATTCGACCCCTTTAATATAGGGGACGAAATAAGCACCCTAGAGGCTAGGGCCCGCTTAGAAGAAGCCTTAGAAGGCCAACGCCCTTTAAGGACCCCGGAAGGGAAGCCTAAAGCCCGAGACCAAGACTAAGGCTAAGAGGATATCGAGATAGAAGATAACGAAATAAGCCTAGTACCTACCTAGGTTACTAGCCCGATCTAGCCTAGTGGGCCTAGCGGGCCTAAGATTAGTATCTTTAGGCCTAGCCTATCCCTGCCTCGGGCTAGCCACTTCCAGCTAAACCAGCCCCTTAAGCAGGTAAAGGGACGAAAGAGGGCTGCTCTTAGTAGCCCTATTAGCCCTACGCCTACCCGGCTTACACTCCAACGCCTATAGCAATAGCAGCCCTAGCCCTAGCCCTAGCACCCCTTCCTAAGGGACCGGGCCTAGGGCTTCCTTTAACAGGCCCTCTGGGCCCTTAAGGAAGCCTAAAAAATCGAACCCTTTTATAAGACCCTTATAGAAGGGCTCGAAAAGGCAGCTATAGGGACCCCGGACCGCTAACAGCCCCCGCAACAGCCCCCGCAACAGCCCCCGCACCAGCCTAAGACCGCCTAGCAGCCTAAGGCTACGAAAGGAAATCTCGAAGCTAGCTCGTAGGCTAAGGTCGCCGCAAAGAAGGCGCCTAAGGCCCCGGCTAAGACCCCGGCTAAGGCCCCGGCTAGGGCCCCGGCTAAGGCTCTGGCTAGGGCCCCGGCTAAGAGGAACGTAAAAGAGGACTTCTAGCTTATCCTAAAGCTAAAGAAGGGATCGCTAACGCCGACCATTAACCCTATTGCTCTTTATAACGAGCTTAATAAGGCTATAGGGGAACTAGCTATATTAGCTCTATCGACTTCGAATAGAGGTAATATAGTTATAACGATAAAAGCCCCTTATATAGCGAAGAAACTTCTAGAGCAGCGGAATAAGTGGTCCCTATGCTTTAAGGGACTGCCTATCGAATCGGCCGACCTTCCTACTAGCTAGACTAAGCTAGTAGCCCGGAGCGTCCCTAACCTCCTAGAGACCCCTATCCTCGACATCTTCGCCGTAGAGGCTAAGACCTTTAGCGGGATCGATATCCTAGGGCAGCCTAGGTAGCTAGGCACCCTAGGCCCAACGTAAAAGACGGGGTCCGTTGTCTTCGTAGTCCCTTCGGAGGCTATAGGGGCCGAATACCGGAAAAAAGGCCTCTATATAGCAGGCCTATGGCTTCGAGTCGAGGCCTATAAGGAATATACTATACGCACGTAGTGCTATAGATGCCTTTCCTTCGGCTATAACCCCCGGACCTGCCGGCAGCTTATTAGGTGTGCCTTTTGCCCGGAAAAGCACCTAACTAAGGATCATAGCTGCCCTAGCTGCAAGGCTAGCTAAGGGTGCTCTTACTTTAAGGCCTAATGCTATAACTATAAGGGAGAACACCTTACGACTAATAAGGTGCAATGCGGAGTCTATAAGGGAATAACTAATGCCTAATAGCCTTAGCCCCCTTACGCTTATAGGGCCCCCGAAGCCCCCTAGGCCCCCTAGGCCTAACTACGACCCTATTAGTATTATATAGCATAATACTAATAGGCAGGAAACAGCGAACCTATCGATCCTAGAGCAGGCCCTAGAAATAAGAGCGGACCTTATCTTATTATAAGAGCCTTACCTCTATAAGATCGATAATAGCTATATCCCTATACAGCATCCGGCCTATAATATTATAACCCCTATCCCCTCTACTAACTTTCCTAAGCTCGATAGGAGACCTAGGGTTATAGCTTATAAGAGGAAGGAAGCCCGGATAGAAGCTAGCCCTAGCTTCGACCTCTTTTGCGATCCCGATATACAGGCTATAAGGGTAGAAGGCGCCGAGCCGTTTACCCTTATTAACCTATATAACGAAAAAGAGGCTAAAGGGGCCCTAGCCAGCCAAGGCCGGCAAGGGCCCCTTACGATAGAAAGGCTGCTACTAACAGCCCAGCTCCTATAGCAGCCCTTTCTATTAGCAGGGGACTTTAACCTACACTACCCCCGGTGGAACCCGTCTACGGAATCCTCTAAGGCCCGTAAGGCAGAAGCCCTTATTAGCTGGCTCGACCGCTATAAGGCCTCCTTGCTAACGGACCTTACGGTAGCTATAGAAGGCACCTACTAGAGGGAAGGCTTAAAAGGGACCTCGGTTATAGACCTTGCTTTCTATAGCCCCTTTAAGCAACTAACCTAGGCTAACTTCCGCTTCTTAGAGGCTACAGGCTCAGACTATAAGCCTATAGCCTTCGAAGCTAGCTTAAGGGCCCTAATAGGCCCCTATTAGCTAGGCCTGCTACCTATAACTATAGGAAAGCAGACTGGAAGGCCTTCTCGGAACACCTAGCTAAGAAGGAACAGGACCTCCTTATAGCTATAGAGAGGGCTATAAAACGAGACGACTTAGAGGATAGCCTCCTTCTAATAAGAACCCTTATAGAGGCCTCTAACGCAGCGATACCGAAAAGAGGCCCTATAAGGGATCTAAACCCTGGTAGACCGACGAG